TTTAGGAATCTATTCAAAGGCAATGATCCCATAAAAAAAAAAAAGAAAAAGAAAAATGCTATTGTAAAGTCCTAAGAGTCTGCTTCAACATGCTCATCAAACTCAGTTTAGGAACATGGCTGAAGAGCAAATATGAAAAGGTTTTTCTTGACTACTTTCAAGAAATTCTGTTAAAAGGAAAGGAGACGCCAACAGGAGTGGGGTTTTCTCCTCCTAATTCAGGACGGAAACATATTTTACACAATCCTTGGTCTGAATTGAATATGGCTACATTGTGTTCAGAACTAAAAGGAAAAATCCCCTGTATTGACCTTTTTATTCACGGAAAGTCTCTCTGAATATTCCCTATGTCTTTTAGAGTCTGTCAGTCATAATTCACAATTACCTTGATTTGTTTTTTACCTGTATCAGAAAGGTGACTGGTTTTACACAGGAGATCTAATTTTCGGTTCCACACGCACAGGTCATTCCCACCAGACAGCCAAACATCTAGTCTCTGAAGAACAGTCAAACACTGCAAAATCGATTTGAAATGTGTGTCAGTCTAGAAACTCAAGCATTCACTGTTCGGTAGTTTTAATATGTCCACAAGTTCTTCGAAACCCCTCCCTTCAATAGGTGGAGCTTATGTCTCCCGCCCTTGAATGTGGGGTCTATATAACTAGCTTCTATCATGTGGCAGAAGGGATAGTGTGTGACTTACAAGACTATGTGGATTCCTCCTTTTTCTCTCTTAAATCACTTGCTCTAGGGTAAAGACACTCAAGTGGTCATATGGAGGAAGGTCCACATGGCAAGGAGCTGAGGCCTCTGGACAACCACAGTCGCTAACTTGCCAAGCATGTGAATGAGTCTCTTGGGAAGCAATCTCCACCCACAGTCAGGCCTTCCAATGACAGCAATCTCATGAGAGGCCCAGAGGCAGAACCACCCAGCTAAGACACTCTATTCTTGACCACAAACACTGTGAAATATTTAAGCTACTAAATTTTGAGATAATTTGTTACTCAATAATGAATAACACACAATGAATGATACTGCCACCTTGGAAAACAGTTTATTTTTTATTTTTATTTTTTTTTTTTTTGAGACAGAGTCTCACTCTCTTGCTTGGGCTACAGTGCCATGGCATCAGCCTAGCTCACAGCAACCTCAAACTTCTGGGCTCAAGCTATCCTCCTGCCTTAGCCTCCCGGGTAGCTGGGACTATAGGCACGCGCCACCATGCCCCAGCTAATTTTTTCTGTTTTTAGTTGTTTGGCCAATTTCTTTCTATTTTTTTTAGTAGAGACGGGGTCTCACTCTTGCTCAGGCTGATCTCAAACTCCTGAGCTCAAGCAATCCTCCCATCTTGGCATCCCAGAGTACTAGGATTACAGGCGTGAGCCACCGCGCCCAGCCAAGGAAAACAGTTTAAAATAAACTTTTTGAATAAAACTGAAAATACGACCTTAGTATTTATGTATTTTTTAAACTAATATCTTCTAATTCGTCTCAATAATTCTTTATGTTTGCAAGACTCAGAAAATTGAGTGTTTCAAAGACTATAGATGTCAAAGGCCACTCCTGTAATAGTACTCTCCTTACCCATTGACTCTGGGAACAAGAGCAAGAGCAAGAGAAAAGAATAAAAAAAGAAAAGGAAGAAGTTCTGGTAGTCTTGTCAAGGCTGAGAGTAGGGTTGCTTTTAAAACTGATGGATTAAAAAGTTGAAAATAACTGATGAAGTTGAAGTTTATATGTCAAGTGGTCCTATTCTGTCTAATCTCTGAATTTGAATTTTTAATGTCAGTACTTCATTCCTTTTTATTGCCAAAAAGTATTTCACTGTGTAGATATACCACAATGTGTTTATCCATTCATCAGCTGATGGACATTTAGGTTGTTTCCATTTTTGGCTATTATGAATCATGCTGCTCTGAACACGTACACATGTTTGTGGTGGACTTATGTGACTTCTTAAAATCCACTGTTAAATTAGATACAAGTATATAGTACATGGTACTTTCTTCCCTAGAAACTTTACCAATTTGATATTTAGAACAGCATAGTACCATGAGGACTACCAGAAATGCTGCCTTTTAGGGAAAAAAATCAAACTACCCTGACACCCTACTGGCACACAGCAATTCTTTTCACATTAAAAAGGAAAAAAGAGGCCGGGCACGGT